ATGGAACACCCTGTATATTTATAAACTGTATGATCTGGCTTGCCATAAGTTTGTCAAAAATATATATGGCTCTATATTTATTAAGTAGTAAATTCCCCCCCAAAAATAATGGTATTTAATACATAATTACAACTTTATTTTTTAAAAGTTTAAAAAGTTTTCCTTTAACTTTAAACTATGCATTTCGGCACCTATGTTTGTAGGAACTTTTTGCATATTTTTTGATGAGGAATCAATGAGTACTTATTTAACATTTTGACAAGTTAATGACAATAAAAAATTTTGAAGGTTATTTCTTATCAAAGAGACTAAAATCTACAAAATATCAAGAGACGACTTTTAATCAGGATTTAACGGGTTACACAACTCTGATAACATGGTAACAAGAGAAAATAAAATCAGTGGTGTAGGTACATATTTTTTTTAGAATACTGTTCCAGTAATAACCCATATGCACGTCCCTGGTGAATATGTCGACACTTTTTTTAACATTGAAATATGTCGCTCTTATAGTAACTTTTACTCTCAAAATTTCATTCGAATCGCTAAAAGCACTTGAAAGAAAATTATAATAAATCGAAAAAATATTTAAACACCCTGTAGCTACGAAACAAAGCAGAATCAGACCTATTATGTTAATATGAAAAATAAATATTATTATTACGAAAGGAATCTCCCCACGAGAGATAGCACATGTTTTTTGAAACACCCTGTGTACCAAACATATATACAAACCAACGAGAACCCACGTGTAATACCAAAATCCTACGAATTTGCATAAAGTAAATCGTTCTCCATTTAAAATAAGGCCGTCATCGACTTTGTTTTGCCGATGGCTGTTCGCCCTCCACCGGCCGACTTGTTTTTACGAATCCCCTTAACCCGTTAATGCTGCCCGTTTGGTTTTTCCAATTAAATTGGGATTAGGGCGGTGCGCATACCCAAAAAAGGCCGCGCCGCGCGCTGATGACAACTGGCCCGCTCGCAAAACTTTTAATTGAAAAAGAAAATTGGAAAATGCAAGCTTTCCGCGGTGACCGCGCGGCTTCGAGGAAAAGTTTTCGTCGAAGTTTGTTTCCGCATTTTACGAATGAAAAGAGGGATAGATGCTTGACGTTAATCAAAAAATGGGGAAGAAAAGAACGAGGCTCGGTTTTATAGCTTTGTTTTCTTTGATTTTATTTGACGACCGTAATCGGTCTAATTTAACTTTCGGGAAGATTTGGGAAATTATCTTGATACCCATGTATAACTGAAGCTTAGAGTTTTTGACGATTATGATATCAAATTGACAAATAGGAATGATGTAAAAGAAAGTTGGACAAATTTAGTTGAAGTACTTCTGGCTTTTGAATGAGATTTTATCCAATAAATATAAAATAAACTCACTTCCTATTTATTTTTTTGGTTATTGCTATTTTTTGTTCAATTACAGCCACTCAATCAGTTGCATCTTCTTCTTGTAGTTACTATACCTTTTAGCAGAACTTGAATTATTGTATTCTCTATCTAAGCAATTGGTTCAATATACTTGTGTCAAATGTAAAATTTTGAACACTAGGATTTATTGAAGAGATAATTTCTCATTCAGTCACATTTTTTTAAAAAAAAAGCTTTAAAACTAAACAATTATTTGGAAAAATCGAAACAAACTGCGTTTAATACAGCGTGTCTCAATATTCCGTGGACATAGAACTACTACATAATTTTGGAATCATTGGACACAATTTATGTGTCCACTGAACTACAAAAACAATGCAAAAGTGCTTTGTTTGGCCCCTAGAGGGCATCAAACTTAAAAAAATAAACACATTTTTTCGGATATTTTAAAAACCATTTTTGCTAAGTGCGTTAATTGGCTTCCACAAAAATTAAGAAAACTACGAGAAGGGTGAAAACTACCCCCACCCCTACATAAATTTTAGTAGAAATATTTTCCTGTATATACCCAAACTCGACCAACTCCAGCAATGGAAGGAACTCCAAGGAACTCCACCAAAGACAGATACCTCTAGTATTTACTACATTTTTTGCCTCTTGTAAAAAGCGCTAAATCGCATAGTTCTTCAAAACATTTATTAGAGAATTTATTTTTCCAAAGCAGACCTACAAAATATACAGGGAGTTCCAATATTCCGTGGACATAGACGTATTTTTTGAATCAAAATAAGTTAATTGCACATAATTTCCCTTTATACAAAAGTGCTTGCTTTGTCCGTTAGAGGGCATCAATCAAAAATAAAACCGAACGTTAGTTAATTTAAAATTTTATAATTTTTTTGAGCTTCTCGTACTTTTTCGGTTTAAGGATTCACAAAATATCTGAAAAAATGTGTTTTTTTTAATATAGTGTAATGCCCTGTAGCGGACAAACGAAGCACTTATGTATAGAGGTAATTTGTGTCCAATAAACTTATTTTGATTCCAAAGATACGTAGTAGTTCTATGTCCATGGAATATTAGGACATCCTTTATATCTTAAAACAAATTTGTGGAAGTCGTACATCTGATATATGGAATAATAAAATAATTTTATTTGTTTTAGTATTACTATTTTTATGTACAGGGTGTCCCATTTTGGTTGAAATCATACGGTATCTCCGTTATTAGTGAAGATAGAAGGGTGCGGTTTGCACAAACCTATCTCACTTTTTTGTCAAACGGAAGATGCCGTAAACAAAATTTTCATAGCCCTCTTCGTTTCCGAGCTACAGGGTCTTTTTGAAAGTTTTGCAATTTGGGACACCCCCTGTATCTCTGTTATTGTTAAAGCTATCGAGAAGGTGAAAACTGTTTATTCTAGAACTTTTTACGTAGAATACAGTGGCGTAGTCTGGTTTTCTACCAAAAAATTATTTTTGAAAATATGAATTAAAGTTATGTTTATTTAAATGGAATACCCTGTATATTTATAAATCATATGATCTCTCTTGCCATAAGCTTCTCAAAAATATATATCACTCTATATTTATTTTCACTATTTACTGCAATATTTAAAAGTTTTTATTAAAAGATCATATTTATTAGTAGGCCATGATTGATAATAAAAGAAACTAAAGAATTATTAAAAGTATATTGCTATCTGTCTCTTGTTTTATTTTGGGAGCCGCTAATAAATTATTTATATATTAGGGAAACTTAACTCCTTACCGCTATTTGTAAATCTTGGAATACGTGTATACGTACGAATAATCTATCCTATCGGAAATTTTAGATATTCCTTTAGCTAATTTACGTGAAATATACTTTCAGCAAGATGGGGAACATTCCCCCTCATAACTATGAAAATATTAGAATACTGTTAAATTATTATTTTTCAAATCAATGAATTGGAACCAATGAACACATATTGATAGCCTCCTCGATTCCCGGATTTGGCTGTTGTCGATTTTTGATTTTGGGGATTTTTGAAATACGAAATATATCGTGGGCACTACAACCTACAACAATGTCGAACACCTGAAAAATGTTTTAATAATTCAAGCTTTTAGATATTTGCAAACCCATTCCGTTATAAAAACAGAAAAATATATTCACAGTTTCAGTGGTAACAGTTATTTCAAAAGTAAAATATATCAATCCCAAATTAATTTTAATATGTGTATGACTATTTTAGATTTTTTAAAATTATATCTTTTAAATAATGCAGTAAATAGTGAAAATAAATTTAAAGTAATATATATTTTTGAGATGCTGATAGGCAAGACGGATCATATGGTTAATAAATATACAGGGTCTTCCATTTGAAAAAACATAACTTTAGTTCATATTTTCAAAAATATTTTTTTGGTAGAAAAACAGACTACGCCACTGTATTCCACGTAAAAAGTTCTACAATAAGCAGTTTTCGCCTTCTCGATACCTTTAACAATAACAGAGATACAGGGGGTGTCCCAAATTGCAAAATTTTAGAAAAGACCCTGTAGCTCAGAAACTAAGAGGGTTATGAACATTTTGTTTGCAGCATCTTCCGTTTGACGAAAAAGTGGGACAGGTTTGTTCAAACCGCACCCTTCTATCTTCACTAATAACGGAGATACCCTATGATTTCAACCAAAATGGGACACACTGTACTAAGATTTATTTTTTTAAATGTAGGTATCAAGGAATATTAATATTAGATATTACTTGGTTATAACTTTTAAATTAAGACAATATTTATACTGGAAAAATATTTATATTAAATTAATAAAAATAAATAAACAGATTCTTTTTTCATTTTTATACTCGAAACAACAAATATACCTTTTAGGAATATTCATTATAAAATATCAGTTTTTATGATAATATAACAGAAAATTATTCAAATCTGCCGCAATACACTGAAACATTATTTCCAATGGATCCAAAGTCCAAATTCAATATTTATCATCTGCTGATGTATTTCTAACATTGCAAACAAAATATGCATCAAGAGTTATCAAGTTTCAAGTATTTAGGTTTATTTTGATTGATTTGTGTAATTTCAAATTGTAGCATTCTATTATTTTGATTACAATCATTGTGGTTTGATTCTTTGGAGACAATAATTTAATCTTGTAAGAAATCATCCGACCAACTTTAGTTAAAAGAACTGAATGTTATTAAACATTATTAATCTTACTATTTTGTGTTTATTTAAAATAGTATATAAAGCCAGAGGTATATTTATTATCAAAATAACTGAATAGGATATTAAATTGTTGTCACTCTCTGGTGAAAATGAAATATGAGCGACGTTTAAATCAGGAAACTCTTAACACTCTTGACTTTAAAAACACTCCAACATAACTCGTTTTTTTAGCCTCCCATACAATTTTCTCAGTCTCGTCATATTTCAAGTTACCTTATAAATTAAATGTCACGACTGTGTAGTTTAAATTTATTTGGAAATTGTCCAAAGAAATTTAATTTCTGGTTTTATTTCTGAAACATAAACCGAAAGAAATAAATATTACATACAGAATAGTAATTTTAATAGTCATGACAACTTCAACTAAATTCATTTTCTGTCTTTTCAGACTCATTAATGGGTTCAGCATCAGAAGATGAGGAAGACGACGACAACAGTACAGCATCATCTGTGTTAAAACACCATCCTCTTCATGGTTCCTTACCGCCAGCACCTGGTGAAACGAATAACAATTCTTTACCTCACTCCGATATTAGTAATTCTATAGGACAGGTATGGTATACTTTTTATCTTATAATATACACTACTGCCATTACTTGCTGACGAGTATTTGACACGCATCAAGAAGATGGTGATTTTCTTTCGTGAGCTTTTCTGTGACTGAAAAGCTCTATACGCGATTTTATCTCTCTTCCGCACTCCGGACATTCAAAAATCTCATTATTTTGTTGCCTCTTTACTTTTTGGTTGTCGCTGTTAACTGAGTTTACAATTCTTCTCCATTGTGTTCTATTGTGCGCTGCTTCTTCCCACTCATTCTGCATGTTTATCCCCTTTAAGTTTTCGTGGAAAATATCTTTGTACCTTTTGAGTTGTCCACCCGGTTTTCTCTTACCATCTACAAGCTCATCGTAAAGCACAGATTTTGGTAGGCGGTTTTCTAGCATTCTGCATACGTGACCAGCCCATCTTAAGCGGGATTTTGTAATCATATGACTTCAACGCTCTGGCAGTTAGCTTTTTCAAGGACCGATACGTTTGAGACATGATGGAACCATTTGATTCTAAAGAGTTGTCTAAGGTGTCTCTGTTGCAACTTGTTTAATGGGTTCATGTGTCGGTGGTACGGCATCGGCATCGGCATTTCGCTTGCATATAGCATGGTGGGGATTATTATGCTCGGTAGACTGCAAGTTTCGTTTTTGTGCTCAAGTCATGATTATAGAAAACCCTGTCTTTTAATTTCCAGAATGCTCTTGACGCGCTGCTAATCCTGTGCTGAATTTCGGATTTTAATAATATACAAAAAATGCAGCAAGGTCCGAATTGTATTCGGGAAACTTCGGCAACATATTCTACCCATAAAAATAAATAGAAAAATTCGTATAATTTAATGTCCTAAAATGCTTAGTTTTGGAGATACAGGATGTAGAAATTTATTTTTATTTCGATTTTTCTTTCTGAACTATAGCCTAAAGAAAGTTGACTTATACTAATAGGATAAACACAATTAACAATTATTTTCAACACTCCATATTTGTTTTATTAGCTTCTCGTTAGTCATACTTCTAAGATTTCCCCTTGGTTTTCCATCAGATGAAAATATCACGTATAATTACAAAGAAGTCACATTGTTATTTTTGCAATAATTAAGATGCGTTCTGCATGGTACTCTCAACGCATATAAGTATAGTGTGAAAAGTAATTACCCATGAAGGGATAACTAGATACAAAAATAAGCCTCTGGGTAATTAAACTTTCAACAATTCATTCAAATAATATATCATCGTTATTATAAGATGAAAAGTAACAAACTTTTATTAATTTTTATTAACTTTATATTCCGAAATCATCATCAGCTTTGTATGATTATTTGTACATATCAAACCCTAAAAATAGGAGTATATATTTTTTTATATTGTCAATATTAAGTAAGATGTCACCCAGAAAAAATAAATTTTTCACTTTTGTAGTTATTAAACCCGTAAAAATATAGACATACTTTTTATATGCCTACCAGATGTTAATTTTTTTGTCTGATAAATAACACAAAACTGGAAATAGTAGAAGAATATATATTTGGGACAACTAATACACAACTTTGGATCTCTACTACCAGAAATCAAACGAAGAATTAAGTTAGCATGGTGTACTCATGGAAGAAACTCAGTCATATTCAAATCCAGAATGCCACTTTATCTAACGCAGAAAACATTCGACCAATGTGTAATACCATCAGTCATGACCTATGCATGCGAAACCTGGACACTTAAAACGGACATTATAAAAAACTGCAGGTCGCACAACGCTCAATGGAACGAAATATGCTGGGAATAACCAAGAAAGACCGTAAAAGAATAGAGTGGATATGACAAAAGACCCAGGTAATAGATGTCATCCACAGAATCAAATCCCTCAAGTGGCAATGGGCAGGACACCTGGCACGGAGGACGGACAACAGATGGACTAAAAAAATTGCAGCATGGTACCCACGAGGAATTAAGAGACCTAGAGGAAAGCCAAACATGAGATGGGACAATGATTTTAAGAAATTAGCATGGATAACTTGGGCCCGCATAGCCAACAATAGACAACAATGGGCCCAACTGCAAAGAGAGTATCTAAATATGTGAGGGAGGCTACACCATATTTGGAAATGGTTGAATACGCTGAAAATGATGATGATAATGTTAAAAAATATATTCTCTCTGACTGCAACAAGAGTATAATAGCGAAATCCTCTTCTCCGGCCGGGAGAGAAAAAAGCCAGGATGGAAAGCCGTCCAACACCGGGAGGCAAGCAGGGACGTATCACTTGCTTTGCCGCTATTGCTCGACAAGTGAAAATGGCTGTGCTGCCAAAGGATTTCCCAGAGGTTGCTCTGACCACCAACCAGCAAACGTCTCTAGAAGAGACTATACTGGACGAAGTAGTTGCGATCGGATCGCAACACAAGGATCTACAAGATGTGGGCAAGCTGCGTTTTGCGAGGATACACTTTCGGGTGGGCATGATCCTCATAGATTGTGTATCTCAAGAATCGGCGAATTGGTTGGTAGAAATCGCACTTAAGCTTAAAAATTTCCAAAGGCCGGAACTGGTTGCAGTGAAGAATGCCGCCATATTGAAAGTATTTTTAATCGATAGATCTCGTCGTAAAACAATGATGTGCAAAAAATCTCCGATCTAGATATTGTGGTGATTTTCTAGATTCTCTAGAAACTTCTAATGAACGCTCAGCCTGGGACACCTTGTATACATAAATATGATCCAGACAAAATTGTCGTAAATAGAACTAATCGCCGCAGAAAATTAACCGAACATTCGGTTAGGTCGGAACTGGTTGCAGTGAAGGGAGAAAACATCCCTAAAGGGGCGGTCATAACGGTCTTTCTGCCGAGGAGCAAGGGGAAAGACACCACCTACCTGCTGAGCCTTATCCAAGGCCAGAACTTCAATATAAGGACATCGAGTTGACTAGTCATCAACTCGAGGGAGGAGGGTCATGATCAGGTCCTCACACTAGGAATTAACCTCAAATCCTAGGAGGCAATAAAGAAAGAGGGACATATCCTCTATTATAGATACGGGACAACACCGGTATCAGATCTAAGGAGAGACCAAGTTAAAGAGGTGGAGAAAATGGAGACAGATCCTCCAGCCTCCACCTCATGGGTTCCTCAGCCGGAGGCAAGCTCCTCGTCAAAACTCCAACCGTGGGAGGGTGTGTACTCTCGGGGGAAGAACTGTTGTCAGAGGATGATGGGAAATACCCTCTGTCCCCTCTACAACAGGGGTATAATGGGTTATAGATTGTGTGATGACTCAAGGAAGGGGGGCACAATAGATCTTTAAAATCGCAGTGATTAACCCCCCCCCTCTTACTCATTCTACATTCTACATAATAGCGAAAAAGTACTGTTTATGACGTCTATGTAAGCAATTTTAAAAAACTGTAAAGTTGATTATACAAAAATAATCTTCACTATTCCTTTTCTGGATCACATAGACCAATTTTACATTTTCATTTACAATTTCATTACAATTTCATTACAATTACAATTTCAAATTGAAGTATCAGGATGAATTTTCCACTGCCTATTTAAAAAAATGGAAAATTAAATTTCTGCAGTAAAAAAACAACTGAAACTACTAGAAACAAATTACCTGAAAGCAGATGAAATCTATTTGATAATTTTGATTTCAAGCAATCCATCTGCAACGTGAAAAATTACTTCCAAGATCATTACGGTTGTTCCGACACAATGGTCATTTGTATACAGAGTCCATCAAACGCTAAAGGCATTAATCTTCTAACTGCCTAACAACCAGCTCTCTAAATGAGCTACGTCTAAATAGTATATACTAATAGTTCCGACTGCGCATGCCGTACTATTTAGGTCCAATTAAGTTGTTCGTATGGTAATTTTATGCAAATTAGGCTACGAGGAGATTTTGACTTTTGAAATAATAAGATCGTGCTTCAGGCTTCATGATCAAATCATCAGTAATAATATTCTTTAAAGTTTAGTTAAGTTCCTCGAATAGATAATTGGGATGAACTTGTCACTTTAGAATATATTTCATATCGAAATGTAAAAATTTATTTTATTTTTTCAACGTCTAGAAGTTATGTTAATATTGTAATTTTATTTATTGCTAATGGATAAAGTTAGATGACAAAATGTTGAAAATTCTGAAAGTGGCCTTAAATTTTGATTTTACGTCTACAGCATGTTCCCGAATTTTCTTTACAAGAAGAAAAAAATTATAACTGTTATTAACGTTTTGAAAAATGGATTTCATAAAAATGTTTGCCTGTTTTAAAATGGTTAATCCCGTTTATACTTAACCAAACCAAATTTCCATATCGTTTTACAGAAAATTAAAAAAACATAAAAATAGGAAAAAAATGTCTAAACCTATGTGGCGGATTCATCTCTCCAAAAAATCCTGTATGGGTATTTCCGCCACTGCAGGAAAATCTACAAAATAAAATAGTTATTTTTTGTAAACACTTCTGCGTTGATATACTTGTCAGCCAAACCAAACTACTTGTCAGGAGTTAGGTTTACAGATACATATACAAATTTGCCTAACGAACAAAAAAATTCTTAACGTTTGAGAAAGTTTATCTCTTTCCGTCGTCGGAAGCAAAAAAAAATACAAAAATAAAAAAAAAACTATTTAAAATATTTAAATTCAACTATTCTAGAACCCTTTAGTGTTTTAAAGTAGATACGTCTACAAAAACCGTTGACGTTCTGTTAAAATGACATTATATCAAGTTAAAATTCAAAATTAACAATTATTACCTGATAGTAATAATAACTTAATAAGGTAAAACCAAAAAATCCCTAGCTTTCTGTATGATTATTTTTAATTTTTACATATGTTATGTTTATTTATGTTATGGTCTTTAAAATCGCAATCGCTTCTTTGATTTGGGAAAAATTCAACAATATTTTCATGTTTTTTTTTTATATGGAAAAGTATAAACGGAAGTAATCATTTTAGAACAACAAAATTTTGATTTTTATTACTTTGTTTATATTAATAATATAAACAAAAATTCAACAATATTTTCACATTTTTTTTTTAAATTTCTCTAAAAGGGTATGGGAATATGGAAAAGTATAAACGAAAGTAATCATTTTAGAACAACAAAATTTTTATTTTTATTACCTTGTTTATATTAATAATATAAACAAAAGTTCAACAATATTTTCATGTTTTTTTTAAATTTCTCTAAAAGGGTATGGGAATATGGAAAAATATAAACGGAAGTAATTATTTTAGAACAACAAAATTTTTATTTTTATTACTTTGTTTATATTAATAATATAAACAAACATTTAACAATATTTTCATGTTTTTTTTTAAATTTCTCTAAAAGGGTATGGGAATATGGAAAAGTATAAACGGAAGTAATCATTTTAGAACAACAAAATTTTTATTTTTATTACTTTGTTTATATTAATAATATAAACATTCAACAATATTTTCATGTTTTTTTTTAAATTTCTCTAAAAGGGTATCGGAATATGGAAAAGTATAAACGGAAGTAATCATTTTAGAACAACAAAATTTTTATTTTTATTACTTTGTTTATATTAATAATATAAACAAACATTCAACAATATTTTCATGTTTTTTTTTTAATTTCTCTAAAAGGGTATGGGAATATGGAAAAGTATAAACGGAAGTAATCATTTTAGAACAACAAAATTTTTATTTTTATTACTTTGTTTATATTAATAATATAAACATTCAACAATATTTTCATGTTTTTTTTTTAATTTCTCTAATAGGGTATCGGAATATGGAAAAGTATAAACGGAAGTAATCATTTTAGAACAACAAAATTTTTATTTTTATTACTTTGTTTATATTAATAATATAAACAAACATTCAACAATATTTTCATGTTTTTTTTTTTTTTTAATTTCTAAAAGGGTATGGGAATATGGAAAAGTATAAACGGAAGTAATCATTTTAGAACAACAAAATTTTTATTTTTATTACTTTGTTTATATTAATAATATAAACATTCAACAATATTTTCATGTTTTTTTTTTAATTTCTCTAATAGGGTATCGGAATATGGAAAAGTATAAACGGAAGTAATCATTTTAGAACAACAAAATTTTTATTTTTATTACTTTGTTTATTTAATAATTTACTAATAGAAATTAGTTAACGGATTTAAGACTTTTTTTTAAGATTTAAGTTTTTTGTCATTTCAGGACCCTAAAACGGAAAATGACTCCGAGGACCAGAACTCTTTAGACGGCGACCCGATCATTACGGTTGTTCCGACACAATGGTCATTTATATACAGAGTCCATCAAACGCTAAAGGCATTAATCTTCTAACTGCCTAACAACCAGCTATCTAAATGAGCTACGTCTAAATAGTATATACTAATAGTTCCGACTGCGCATGCCGTACTATTTAGATCCAATTAAGTTGTTCGTATGGTAATTTTATGCAAATTAGGCTACGAGGAGATTTTGACTTTTGAAATAATAAGATCGTGCTTCAGGCTTCATGATCAAATCATCAGTAATAATATTCTTTAAAGTTTAGTTAAGTTCCTCGAATAGCTAATTGGGATGAACTTGTCACTTTAGAATATATTTCAAATCGAAATGTAAAAATTTATTTTATTTTTTCAACGTCTAGAAGTTATGTTAATGTTGTAATTTTATTTATTGCTAATGGATAAAGTTAGATGACAAAATGTTGAAAATTCTGAAAGTGGCCTTAAATTTTGATTTTACTTCTACAGCATGTTCCCGAATTTTCTTTACAAGAAGAAAAAAATTATAACTGTTATTAACGTTTTGAGAAAAATGGATTTCATAAAAATGTTTGCCTGTTTTAAAATGGTTAATCCCGTTTATACTTAACCAAACCAAATTTCCATATCGTTGTACAGAAAATTAAAAAAACATAAAAATAGGAAAAAAATGTCTAAATCTATGTGGCGGATTCATCTCTCCAAAAAATCCTGTATGGGTATTTCCGCCACTGCAGGAAAATCTACAAAATAAAATAGTTATTTTTTGTAAACACTTCTGGGCGTTGATCTACTTGTCAGCCAAACCAAACTACTTGTCAGAAGTTAGGTTTACAGATACATATACAAATTTGCCTAACGAACAAAAAAATTCTTAACGTTTGAGAAAGTTTATCTCTTTCCGTCGTCGGAAGCAAAAAAAAATACAAAAATAAAAAAAACTATTTAAAATATTTAAATTCAACTATTCTAGAACCCTTTAGTGTTTTAAAGTAGATACGTCTACAACAACCGTTGACGTTCTGTTAAAATGACATTATATCAAGTTAAAATTCAAAATTAACAATTACTACCTGATAACAATAATTACTTAATAAGGTAAAACCAAAAAATCCCTAGCTTTCTGTATGATTATTTTTAATGTTTACATATGTTATGTTTATTTATGTTATGTTCTTTAAAATCGCAATCGCTTCTTTGATTTGGGAAAAATTCAACAATATTTTCATGTTTTTTTTTTAATTTCTCTAAAAGGGTATGGGCATATGGAACAGTATAAACGGAAGTAATCATTTTAGAACAACAAAGTTTTTATTACTTTTTTTATATTAATAATATAAACAAAAATTCAACAATATTTTCACATTTTTTTTTAAATTTCTCTAAAAGGGTATGGGAAACGTAATCATTTTAGAACAACAAAATTTTTATTTTTATTACTTTGTTTATATTAATAATATAAACATTCAACAATATTTTCATGTTTTTTTTAAATTTCTCTAAAAGGGTATCGGAATATGGAAAAGTATAAACGGAAGTAATCATTTTAGAACAACAAAATTTTTATTTTTATTACTTTGTTTATTTAATAATTTACTAATAGAAATTAGTTAACGGATTTAAGACTTTTTTTTAAGATTTAAGTTTTTTTGTCATTTCAGGACCCTAAAACGGAAAACGACTCCGAGGACCAGAACTCTTTAGACGGCGACCCGGAAACGAGGGACTCCCAAACGGAGAACAAAAGTCCTGATGACAGCAGCGCGGGTTCGAAACGTCGCGGTCCGCGAACGACGATCAAAGCGAAACAATTAGAGATCCTGAAGACTGCCTTCTCGCAAACGCCCAAACCCACCAGGCACATAAGAGAACAATTGGCGAAAGAGACGGGGTTGCCCATGCGAGTGATACAGGTAAGATTGTAACCGCCTACACACGATACAGTTTCCTTGAATCGGTATTTTTGTATTATTTAGACCCTCACTCTAGACAACTTTGATCGTCCAAATCAACATAGAATATGAAAATTGCGATGTACCATTTGTTATGTCATCGCTGTCATTTTATATGTAAAATTATATAGGGAATGTTATCGATGTTCATTTCCAAGCCAATTGGTCGCCGGTTTTTCTCGATCATACGGTATTTTAGTATATACCTGCGATGTACTTATATTTTGAATCAACCTATGAAAAACTAAAGTTTTGTGATGTAAAAGTACTATACAACCTTTTGTACTTAATAACACCACTGACGTCGCATTGGCGTCAGTGGACTCTGTGAAATTCTTAGGACTTGTTTTAGACAACTGGTTAAAATCACATCGAAGCTTTATCAAAGAAACTTAGCGCTGCCTGTTTTGCGCTAAGATCAGTTTCTAAGGAACTTAACTTATCAACCTCTTGAATAGCCTATTATGCCCTTTTTGAGTCACATCTTCGTTATGCCCTACCATTCTGGGGTACTTGCTGCGCAACAAAATTTGATCGTATTTTCAAACTTCAAAAGAGAGCAGTTCGATATTTATTGGGACTGAACAGTAGAACTCACTGCCAATTCAAAATACTTACTCTTCCTTCTTTATTCATTTTTGAAACCGTTTGCTTAATCCGCAAGCACATATCTGCTATTCCCGAAAGGTCATCTCACAACTATCCACTTAGGAATGCGGAGCACATCATCTGCCTTTGAATATCAAGTCGCTTTCATTCTTTCCCGCATTTCGCAAAGCTCTGAAATCATACTAACTGGAGAGAGCCCTATATGCGGTAAACGACTTTTTTGTTGATGTTTAATCATGAACAATTTTGAATTTTAAAATTTTGATCATCTCACACACTGGTCAAAAGTCCAGTATTTGATATTTTATAACTTTTAAAATTATATCCATTTACAATTTTCCCAATTTAAAATTTTATTGATGTGCCTTTTTTGTGTTCTGCTATTGTCCATGTAAAGTCCATATCATAGGTCCATATTCTTCTTAAGGTGCCGTGCTGATTCCTGCGTAAGCGTTCATCTTTTTCTTCCTCATCAGATGGTTCTATTTATTGCAGCGACTTGGAGTGCTTGAAAGTCCTGTATGCCTGTCCAATGATGAATATTTCTCAGCCAGGATAGCTTCCTTCGGCCTATTCCCCTTTTGCCCCCCTCGATTTTACCTTGGAGAATTAGACGCTGAAAGTGGTAGCGTTCTCCTCGTAGTGTGTGCTCCAAATAGGCTATTTTCCTCTTCTTGGTGATTTCGAAGAGTTCCTCTAGACCAGCTCTTCTGAGAATGTCTTCATTCATCACACGGTCGACCCAGGTCACTCTTAGCGTTCGTCGTAGGGTTCACATTTCGAAGGCTTCAATTTTGTTTATTGTTGCTACATTCAGTGTCCATGCTTCCACACCATATAAGAAAATGGACCAGACATAGCACTTCACCATTCTGTATCTAAGGCCGAAGTTCAAGTTCCCATCTGTGAGAAACCTTCGAAGTTTTAGAAGAGTTGTTTTTGCTTGCTCGATCCTGCATTTGATCTCCTGATCTGGATCCCACGTTTGGTTAACCATGAATCCCAAATATTTAAATTGTGTGACCTGCTTGATGACCTCTCCTGAAAAGAAATATTAAATATTAAAATGATTATAGAATTTAAAGGTAAATAATTTAAACAATCCTCAAAGTGAGTAATTTAGTTGTTAAATATTATTATCCATTTGAAGTTTACTTAACAAAATTTTGCCGAGAGGGTAAATCATTCTTTTTATTAAGTAATGTTCCGTGTGCCTTAATTTATATTGTTAATATTTACTTTTGCACTTTTTAAATCTGACTATATTATTATTAAAATTTGTAATTTGAATATAATATAAGCATAATAAAATATACAAAATGATATATGCCGGGTGCGTCTCAAAAGTGGCTCACCCCTATAACTTTTTATATTTTTTCAGATAAAAACAAGATTTGGTATGTTAGTATATGACATAAATTAGGATTGATTGGTGTATTCAGTTGTTTTCAATCACTTCCTGTTTTACCGGAAACGACTACAACTTTTACAACATTTTTAAATGACACCCTTGGTATTTTTTTACTTCATTCGAAAGAAAATGACACTCTGAATAGAATGTCAACTGAATAAAATAACATATGTTAACTTTTGACATTTTCTGATATGGTTTATTTGAAATTACAACATGCGGTCCATAACGATAATTTGGCTCGAAATACCAAGCGTGTAGTACCAAATTATTCGTAAAAAAATGGTTTTTTTTCCAAATATGCTAATTAACCACTCACGTTCCATTTGAAAAAACTGAGATATGATACTGTCTAAACACTGAGATACGATTTGGCCATCTTTTAATAGACAAGGACAAGACACCAAAAACACCAACGATCAAATCTAACGAGTATCTTCCCAAGGCTCTTTGACTAAAAATTAGTGTTTTTAACATAGTCATATGGTACTCTAGACTGATATTTAAAATACAATTTTTTTTAGAGCGAAAATGTGAAAAGTTGACATGTTATTATTCTATTCAGATGATATTATTCTATTCAGAGTGTCATTTTCTTTCGAATAAAGTAAAAAAATACCGACGGTGCCATTTAAAAATCAAAAGTTGTAGTCATTTCCGATAAAACAGAGGAAGTTACCGAAAACAATTGAATACGTCAATCAATCCTAATTTATGTCATATACTAACATACCAAATCTCGTTTTTTTATCTGAAAAAATAAAAAAGTTATAGGGGTGAGCCACTTTTCACATTCACCCGGTATATAGTTTTTTATATACTTCGTATATCTATTATTTTGACTATGAAGTAAACGGTAACCAGTAACCACATTTTTTGGTAACAACTTAATTCTTGTTGCGCTAAAGAAGGCTAAAACATTACAGTATTTTGGTAAACTTTCCGTAATTAATGAATTTTTGTTAATTATTTACTGTTATTAGAGCAAATAAGGAAAACAATATTTTTTTTATTTATGTTGCAAAAACAAATTGCAAAAAATTTACCAAATTTTCAACGTTTTAATTGTTTTCCTTTCAAAAAAGTACTGAATTGTCTCAACAGTATAGATATAATTAGAAGTTTTTTTTTATCTAATAACAATTTGACACACTTATAAATACTATTACGTTAAAAGCAAGTATTTTCCAAAGCCTATCATGACTACACTGAGGCGTTGTTTCTTGTTCACTGTCATTGATATCTTAATTACATATTAGATAATAATATATCTGGTATTATGGTATTCGGGTATATTGTCGATTTTAAAATACCTAATCGTTTCTATCGTATTTTTCAAGAGAATGGGCATAATGATGTAATATATGCATATTAATGTAATTAAGGGCTTATTTTTTCGTATTTATTATAATTTTGCTCTATCTTCGGTTTGAAAAAAGACATCAAGATTCAATTTTTAAGCTTTTATTACTCTTTACTATCAGTCTTGTCTATCAGCTAAAATTACATATACTATCGTATTTAATTTTTTGAAAAAACGCGCAATGTTTGTTAAATTGTAAGACAGCGCCCCCTAGCGTCTGCGTTCAAAAGCTTATTATTGTTATTTTTATGGTATAACATAGAGTAAGGAACGGTCTTTTAAACGAGCCCTCGTTTGTTAGATTCTGATTGAGCACAGCACTTTTTACAACGATAACAAAACAATTATACATGAACAACAAAAAATAAAGGGAATTTACGCCAGATGTTTGTCAACGTTGCCAACGTTTAGCCCAATTTAATGTTATCCTTATATTGCCGATTATTATTCAACTTATCCTTATTTATCCTTATATTTTACAACATGTGGCAACCGCGCTAACTGAATTTTCCAAACTTACTGCTATCGTCCAGGGAATGCTAGCATTCACTAGTAAAAGTTGGTTTCAAAAATAATTGTTGAACTTTTACTGGCGTAGTCTTAGCAAATCAGTGAATGTGAGCTTTTACTAGTAATTTTTAACAATCACTGATTTCCAACTTTTACTGTAACATATACATAAATTGGATCCAGACAAAATTGTCGAAAATAGAACTAATCGCAGTAGAAAATTAACCGAACATTCGGCCCCTAGAGCTGGCCATCCCTCATGCCGTTACAGACGTTCGCCGAACCATTTGCACCCATTCATCAAATGCGAAGAACAAAACCGCCGCAATTTATTTCACACGTCCCGAACGAACAAAAATCGTATAAATCAAACCCGCCCCCACACCTGGGACACGAAACGTTTCCCAAAACCGAACCATATTCCGAAGGGTAATTAACGATCGGGTACCCGAACGAAGATTAGTTGTTCCCCATCTAAGTCATAGAAAGAAAAGAAAGTTTTTGGAACATATAATTATGGGATAAAATGTCAGGAATTTGTTGATATTTTATTAATTATTATTCGAAATTCGAAATAAAAGAATTCTTCCAATTCCAAAATGATTAATTACCTATTAGGGATGTAAAAAGGCAGCCACACACATACAGTTTTTCCTCAAGGCAAAAATGCACAGTTGTGACGTTGGGAATTTTGTTTAAATACGGTATACCATACACGAACATATTATTCGTCAGTTATGCAACAAATTAACACTTGTCAAAATATAATGTGGAGTAGTAGGAGTAGAGGGAGATGGCCGATTCTACGCCAGGAGGAGGAGCAAGGAGCAGGAGCAGGAGTAAATCAGCTAAAAATAGGCTAATAAACAAGAATAAACGGGTTTGGACCGCTTTGAACCGCTTTTGAACTGCTTTGAACCGCTTTTTAGGTTAAAACAACAGGCCAGTTCATTTTTTGTTCAAACCTGTTTATTTGTGTTTTAAAGCTGTTTAAAGCGGTTCAAACCTGTTTATTCTTGTTTTATTATTTTGTTCCTATTTTAACCGTTCTTAGCTGATTTACTCCTG